AAACCACTGAGCTAAATCCCCGGCCCTCCCTCATGTTTTTTAATACTAAATCGTACTCAATTGTGTAAATATACCATGTTTATTCAACATATCTTCTCTATTTTGGTATTTAGTTTGATTTCTGTACAAAAAATTATAACCAATGTTGTTATATATATAATACAGCATGTATAGTGTTTTCATTTTGTTATTAGTATTCAAACATTCCAGTTGAATTTATAGAATGTGATCACAAAGTCAATTTATTTTGCACAAGAAAATAAATGCAATTTGGTTAGACATTATCAAATTCCCTTCAAAAGAGGTTGTGGTAGTTTTCATTACCATAGTGATGTATGAGCATGCCCTCAGCTTCAGCAGAATGTGTTTAATTTTAGCCAATCAGGCGAGAAATAGTATTCCAAGACAATTTGAGTTTCCAAAGTGCTAATTTGAGTGTTAATTTAAGAATGAGATTTAACATCATTTCAAATGTTTAAGGTCATTTTGTATCAAATTTGTAAGTTTTCTGGTTATACCATGTATTCCAGGTTTCAATAAATGTTTGGTCCTTTTATTTCCATATTTTAAGAATTTTCTCTAGAGTATGGAAATTAGCTATTTATTTCTAGCATGTTGCAAATATTTCCTTATAATTTGGCAGTTCCTTGATTTTATTTTACCATACACATTAAAATAAATGTTTGGTAATCAAATTCATCAATCATTTCTTTTATTACCCATGGATTTTAAATCAATATCAGAAAACTTTTATAGAGAAATTTACCCATTTTCTCTAGTACTTCTATGAGCAAAGGTTATTATTATTATTTTTTAATTTGGTTTCTTGATCAGTGTGGACAAATTCTAAAAAATTCTTAGAGCTATATTGCCTTTTAGCAATGAAAAGGACTGAAGTTTAAAGGATGTGAAATGAAATGAGACTGACTACAAGTTTATTCTTGCATAGGGTGTGAAGTACGAATGCAATTTTTTTCCCCCTAACTTGCTGTCTACTTGTACCAGTCATGTTTGTTAAGAAACTTATCTTTGCTTCCATGACTTAGGATGCCTTCTTTATCATTTATATATGTAGTTAGATTTACTTCAGGGCTTTCTATTCTATTCTACTGACTATATCTATTCTTGTCACAGTAGCACACTGCTTTATGGAGACTTTATTGGATGATTTAATGTCTAATAGAACTGGTTAACCATTGTAGTTTTTAATATTTTGGGTCCCTAACTATTCTTACATTTTTTTTTCCTTACAAACTTTAACATCA